TTCTGTCCTCTTATTCTTGACTTAATACTGTGGGGTTCCAAACGGTTAACATTCAGTATAAAAATCTTCGTTATTTAAAGTATATAATTGTTTTTATTCTTATATTTTTATATTCACCATAAACTGCCTTCATTGCCAACTAGCAACCACTTATTATAGTGGCTTGATTAGATCTGAACCTTGAGGATTATTCCTCCATAAATTATATAATTATTCTCTATGCTCCTGTCCAGGATCATCAATATGTTTATTTCCAGAGATTATTTTGTACATTTTTTTTTACCCACAATCATCCTTATAAGTCTGCTAAATCTCATGTTGGTGAAATGATACACACATTTTACATTTCAAATAGCTTAACTTTTTATAGCTTTTATGTATTATATAAAAACTGGAGGTTGGCTGAGAAAAGATTCCCCGCTGTCTTCCTTTGCCTACAATGAATGCAAAAATGTGATCGTGTAGGATAAATCTCCTTTTTTGGTAGAGGAAAAAGAAAGGAGATTTGTGCTTATAGCACATAAACTCCGTTGAATATATTACAATATTCATTCAGTGTGAAGAATCTGTAAGCTGGCCAGAGATAAAAGGTACTCCTGAGACATAAACACATGATCTGAGACACAAAGGAGGTAGAATTGTTTTCCCAAACCTTTCTTTTATTTTTCAACCATAAAAGGCTCTACTAAATCACTTAAATGTGTTTTACAATGCAAGCTGAAGAAAGAAGCGAGCAGAATCAGGAATAAAGTACCATGAGAGATTGCAGGTTGGATCATTAGCTTAAATAAACAAATAAGTATCTTATTTTAGACACAGTAATTTTACATTCTTCACTTTAATTTGCAACCTCCACCTCCACACATTTAGTTACCAGCTGTACAAGGAGGCTGCTCATAGATTTATTTCTGGGTAGGCATAATGCCCACAGAATGACTTTACTATCTTGTATTGACATATCTGAGCTATTTGTGTGAGAGACCCATGCGTAAAAAAAAGGAAAAAATTACCGTTTTTAGGAAATGTTTCAGTCTCCAGAATTTATTTTGGGCAATGACACCAATATTCAATGCCGTTCATGTAAATTCATATGCCACGTTTAAATGGTTGCATAGAAACCAGACAACCATGAACCTATGAAATGACCTGTTATGATGTAATTATTATTAGTTTCTGGCCTGACAAAGTCCTACAGAGCAAATGATTATCTGTTTCCTCACTTCTTTTGTTAATATTCTGTCTCCCACTCCATAAAAAAAAAAAGAAAGAAAGAAATTGGCAGGACTTGGACATTTAATTGTGCAACTTTTCTGTAGGGATTCTCAGTCATCTAGGTCATGGTTGTCCCAAAGGTGCTTTTTCAGGAGGCAACTGGACTTTTTGGTTTTTTTTTCTTTGAAGACATTTCACTTCTTATCCAAGAAGCTTCTTCAGCTCTGACAGGATAGTGGGGAATAGAAGGATTTATATTCCTTGCAAACAGCTGATCATTAACACAACAGGTCCACTATCCTATCAGAGTTGAAGAAGCTTCTTGGATGAGAAGCAAAATGTCTTCAAAGAAAAAACAAGGAAGTCTAGTTGCCTCTTGAAATAAAAGCACCTTTGGGACAATTCTGCAACTTCTAGGCCCTCTTGAGACAACTATTAAAATAGGCTACTCAGTCACTATGACCTGGATGACTGAAAATCTCTACAGACTTTTGGCTATACAATTTGAGATGAACATACTTTCGATGGTGTAGGAGTAGGAATGGATTTCCAGAGAAAAATTGCAGACTACAGGAACCAGGAGCACTGAGGGCACAGATAAATCTCCAAGTGCTTCAATGACCCTCTAAAACAATGCCAATAACCAACAGTCTGCAAGGAGTATAAATCCTTGCATTCCCCACTACCTGTCAGAGCTGAAGAAGCTTCTTGAATAAGAAGTGAAATGTCTTCAAAGAAAAAACAAGAAAGTCCAGTTGCCTCTTGAAAAAAAAGCACCTTTGGGACAATTCTGCAACTTCTAGGCCCTCTTGAGACAAGTATTGAAATAGGCTACTCAGTCATTGTCTGCTGCAATGTTTACAATGCACAATGCAATGTTTGATATTGTGTCCAATTATTCCCCTTTTCCATTATATTTCTTAACTGTCATATTTTCATTATGCCCTCCCTCAAAATACTAAAGGAACATTTGATGTTATATATGTTGATGGCCACAAACTATGCACAAAAATGGAAGGATACTTGGATTCCCACAATGGGAGAATGGCTGCAAAAGTTGATGGAGTTAGATGGATAAATTGATTTCTTTGATTGAAGAAAACAAACGAATATTAATTTTGTTTCTACTTGGAAACCGCTTTTGGACTTTGTACTTGAGTGGGAAAAAAATGAAATTATGATTTTGGGTTTTACCGATTAATAGATTTGTTGTTATAGAAATTGCTAGTTTATATTACTACGCAAAAGTAAAAAGTCTAGGTTTGACACTGTTATCTTATTCTACTGCATCAAAAGAAGTCTGAAGTCAGTACCTTTTCTTTCTTTTTTTCCCTTTGCCCTACACTTTTCCCTCCCTTCTCTACTCCCTCCCTTACTTTCCCACTATTTTCTTTTATATTTTTGTATTTTATATTATAAACTAATTAAAAAAAAAATACTAAAGAAATATGCAGAGTTTTTTTTTCCTCCTTGCAACAGTACTGAGTACTATATGATGCTGAAAGATGCTAACTTGCTGGATGAAACATTGAATTTTAACATAGGAGCACAGTAGCAAGTGTAATTTTGCATATTCTGTTCAAACATCCTCAGAGGGGGTGGTCAAAATCGCTCCTCTCTGAATCAGAGGGAGCTGAGACTAGAGATTTAATTGGTTACCCAACACAAACACGTACACACACATTTCCCTTCACGAAAGCATTTCAAGGTGATTTTAAAGTGCTTAGAGGTGCAGATTTAATATTTATAGTTAATTCATTGAATGTTGTCGTCTCAGTTCATGTAGACTACCCAGAATCAGGCAAACTGGCCCAATCTGCAAATGCTCTGAAATAATGAAATAACTGTTAAGATCACACCATTGCTAACGTAGTCAAGATCCCTAGAAATTAAATTACTTATCTCTAATAACTTAAATATTTCTTGCAGTGACTGGCTCTGTGTTTGGCAGACTCAAAAGAATATTCCACCTATCTCCAAGTGCATCAACTTCTGTAGCCTTTGTTCTCCCGATGACCTCTGTCTCTTTCTGTAACAGGACAGTTTCCCTTGACTTAAGACTTTTCATTTAACGATGGTTCAAAGTTACCTCAGATAATCGTTGCATTATTCCTGAAGTCACGTGACTGCAATTTGGGTACTCTGCAACTGGCTCACATTTATGACCAAATGCAGCATCCTGTAATCGCATGGTTGTGATTTGTAACTTTGTTGTTGTTGTTGATTTCCAGCAAAACACACCCACAGAAAAGCTGGATTTGCTTAACAACTGCATAAGTCACTTCACAACCATTTGATTCATTGAACAACTGCTGTAAACATGTCATCAAATTGGGTCTGGTTCGACTTATGACCACCAGAACTTATGGCAGAAAGTCTGGCTCCAATTGTGATTATAAATCGAAAACTATCTGTAAGGCTCCTGTTTCCTCATTCTCAGACCATATATTCTGAGTGGATTCTCTCTTGAATAGTATTATCTATACCCTCCTCTTTTTCCCTGATCAGCAATAGTGAGGCAAGAACCGGAAAGATCCTTTAGAAAAGAAACAGGAATGGAGAGAGGCAACATGCAGTAAAGTAGTCTGTAGAGACTCTCGGTCATCCAGGTTATGGTTGACCCAAAGGTGCTTCTTTTTCTTCAGGAGGCAACTGGACTTTCTTGTTTTTTCTTTTGAAGATGTTTCACTTCTCATCCAGGAAGCTTCTTCAGCCCTGACCGAATAGTGGGGAATGGAAGAATTTATATTCCTTGCAGACAGCTGGTCATGTGCATCCTTTTAGAGGGTTATTGAAACACTGGGAGGTATATCTGTGTCATCCCAGGGTCACTTGAGGAGTCCTCCTGGTTCCTATAGTCTGCATTTTTCCCCCTTTCCTCTGGAAATCCATTCCTACTCCTACACCATACAAAGGGTGTTCATCCCAAATTGTATAGATAAAACAGATAACAGATAATCAGAGTTGGAAGGAACCTTGTAGGTCATCTAGTCCAACCCCCTGCCCAAGTGGGAGATGCTACACCATTTCTGACAAATGGCAGTCCAATCTCTTCTTGAAAGTCTCAAGTGATGGTGCTCCCAGCTGTTCCATTGGTTGATTGTTCTCACTGTCAGAAAGTTTATCCTTATTTCCAGGTTAAATCTCTCCTTGTTCAGTTTCCATCCATTGTTCCTTGTCTGGCCTACAGGTGCTGTAGAGATTCTCAGGCATTCAGGTCATGATTGTCCCAAAACAAAACTAGAAAGTCCAGTTGCCTCTTGAAAAAAAGCACCGTGATCGATGACTGAGAATCTCCAGAGACCAGGGGGTCTTCAAACTTGACAGCTTTAAGACTTGTGGACTTCAACTCCCAGAACTCCTCCTCCCGTCATTTTAGCTCAGGAATTCTGGGAGTTGAAGTCCACAAGTCTTAAACTTGCCAAGTTTGAAGACCCTTGCCATAGACACGTGAAGCTTAAAGTTGCCCAGTTTGAGAAACACTGCGACCTGGACCCAGGCCCTGTTCCCAGGCTGGTTGGGAGCGATGGGACTTATAGTCGGGTGGCAAGAGAGCTTTCACGGCGCTCCCCGACGACCCTTTTGTAAAACACAAACAACAAACAAAAACAAAAAACAACAACATGCGCGTTCCCGGTCTAGGACTACCCTTGGCACAGGAAAACGTGCCAACCTTCTTCCGGCTTCCGCCCGTCCTTGAAGCCGACTTCCTGCTCCCGCTCTTCGAGAAGGGAGAAAGGGAACACCTCCTGGCGGAAGTTCTCCCCCCCTTTCCCCTGCCGAGCGGAACGAGTGGAACCGGCTAAACTAAAGCGCTCTTTTTCCCGGCTGTGCTTGCCGGCCGCTCGGTGCGGCTTAGCCCGAGGAGATCCGAACAGGTTGCCCGGCTCTGCTCTGCCCGGCCGACGTCCAGGGAGAAGGGAAAGGAGGCGTGGGGTGGCAGAGCTCGTAGGACTCTCGAAAAAAATCTCCAGGTAAGAGACAGGAAAGTGGGAGAGAGATATTAAAAGAATCGGAGGTTTTCGTTTTGGAAGGGGGGGGGGGGGATGCTAAGGATTTCTCACCCCTGCATTTGCATTGCATTGATTGCCCACCCACCCACCCGCAGCCCAAAAAAACAAAAGCATTGCATTGCGTTGCTTTTATTGAGGATCCTGCTCTGATGTTCAGTGGGGATCGTTTGATGCCCGCAAGAAGCCCCAGTGTCGAAGCTCTTCTGTGGAGGCAGAACAAAAGCTGGGCGGGTGGGACCATGGGGGCGACACGAGCACTCTTCTGTATCCGTGCCACCTCACAGGGCATACACAGAAGTGTGTTTGCAGGTAAAAGGACAAAAGAAATATTGCACTGATGTCCTGCGAGCCTCCCCCTCCTTGCATGGCATCTTGGCAACATACATAGGCACTTGCATGCTCACCCTTCTCAGATGCCTTTGAAACCTGGAGTGGCCCGGAATCTAAGGAACATCTACTTTTCCCAGATTTAGCAAGTTAAAAAAGTGACCACAAACCTGAAATGCCTGAAGAGGAATATTTGCAAAGTTGCGTCTCCTAGGAGAAAGTGGAATGGTAAAGCAAAAAGATAAGGAGTCTCAGGTGTTCAACTCCAACAGTCCTCAGAATTCCTCATGGGGCTGCTACGATTGATTTGTTGATGTTCTTTTGTATTGCAATGCACTTCTGAAAGTAGCATTTTAAAAAAATCACTTGAGATAAAACCAATCTATAATCCAAGAGTTCTTTTATTTTGTCCCCCTTTTGAACAGATAACAGATCATCAGAGTTGGAAGGCACCTTGTAGGTCATCTAGTCCATCCCCCCACCCAAGTAGCTGACCCTCCACCATTTCTGACAAATGGCAGTCCAATCTCTTCTTGAAAGTCTCAACTGATGGCGCTCCCACAACTTTCGAGGGCAAGCTGTTCCATTGGTTGATTGTTCTCACTGTCAGAAAGTTTCTCCTTATTTCCAGATTAAATCTCTCCTTGTTCAGTTTCCATCCATTATCCCTTGTCTAAAGCATCTTCGGGTGCATTAGAAAATAGCTTGACCCCTTCCTCTCTGTGGCAGCCCCTCAAATATTGGAAGACTGCTATCATGTCTCCCCTGGTCCTTCTCTTCACTAGGCTAGCCAAGCCCAGTTCCTGTAACCATTCTTCATATATTTTACTCTCCGGTCCTTTAATCATCCTGGTTGCTCTTCTCTGTACTTTTTATAGAGTCTCAACATCTTTTTTATAGTGTGGTGAACAAAACTGGGTGCAGTACTCTAGGTGTGGCCCTACTAAGGCTTTACAGAGTGGTATTAGTACTTCCCTTGATCCTGATTGTATCCCTCTTTTAATACAATTTAGGATTGCATTAGCTTTTTTGGCGGCGGCTGCACACTGCTGGCTCATATTTAGCTGGTTGTCCACTAAGATTCCAAGATCCCTCTCACAGTTACTGCTGCAGAGCCTGGTTTCACCCAGTCTATATGTGTACTTTTGGTTTTTATTGTCTAAGTGTAGGACTTTACTTTTCTCTATATTGAATTTCATTTTATTGGATATGGCCCAGTGTTCTAATCTGTCAAGATCCATCTGGATCTTGAGCCTATCTTCTTGGGTGTTAGCTATTCCTGCCAGCTTAGCATGATCTGCAAATTTGGTAAATTCCCCTTCTATTCCCTCATCTAAGTTGTTAATGAAGATATGGAAGAGTACTGGGCCTAAGACAGAACCTTGTGGCACCCCACTGCTTACTTCCCTCCATGTAGACTTAGACCCATTAAGGACTACTCGTTGAGTACAGTTTGCCAGCCATTTGCAAGTCCAACTAGTGGTAGTGCTATCTATTCCACTTTTTTCTAGATTACTAAGAAGTAGATTGTGGTCTACTTTATGGAATGCCTTGCTGAAATCTAAATATATTATGTCCACAATATTTTGCTGGTCTACTAATTTAGTCACTATGTTGAAGAATGAAATAAGATTGGTTTGGCATGATCTGTTTTTAACAAATCCGTGCTGATTGCTAGTTATTACTTTACATGTTTCTAGATGTTGACAGATCTGTTTTTTTATTATCTTTTCCAGTATCTTCCTGGGTATTGGTGTTAGACTGATTGGTCTATAGTTTCCTGGGTCTGTTTTTTTTTCCTTTTTTGAAGATGGGAACCACATCAACTCTTTTCCAGTCCTCTGGTAGTTCCCCGGTGCTCCAGGATTTTTGAAAAATGCAGTGGTTCTGAGATGACCTCTGCCAGCTCCTTTAAAACTCTGGGATATAATCCATCAGGCCCCGGCGATTTGTTTTCATCAAGATCAGACAGGTGTTCTCTTACTATTTTTTTTGCTTATTTTAACTTTTATTTCTGGTCTGTCTTTTACAGTTACGTTTTTGATGGGTTGAGCTATAGTTTCTTTTTGCGTGAAGACGGATCCAAAGAATGAGTTAAGCAATTCTGCTTTCTCTCTGTTGCCTGTTACTTCCTTGCCATCTTCTCTCTTTAGTGGACCAACTGTTTCCTTGATTTTCTTGTTATTTATATGTTGGAAGAAACTTTTTTTGACTTTGACTTTTATTGCAAGTCTTTGTTCGTTCTGAGCCTTTGCTATCCTGACTTTGTCTTTGCAGATTCTGGCTGTCTGCTGATATTCTGCCTTAATTGTATGTCCTTCTTTCCATTTTTTGTACTTGTCCTTTTTTTCTTTCAATTTGCCAGAGAGATCTTTGTGCAGCCATGCTGGTTTCTTCTTGGATTTCTTGTTTTTCTTTCTCAGTGGTATTGTGCTGGTCTGGGCTCCTATGATCATACTTTTTAGAATTTCCCAAGATTCTTGAGTTGTTTTCCCCTTTAGGATTTTCATCCATGGAATCTTTTCCAAGTTCTCTCTGAGTTTATTAAAATCAGCTCTTTTAAAATCCAAGACTCTGGTGTCATTATGTTCTGTTGCTTGTATTTGTGTTATGTTGAATTCTAGTATGACATGGTCATTCTCACCCAAGATTCCTGCAGTTTCAACTCCCTCTATCTCTTCTTCTCTGTTTCTAAGAATTGTCCAATATGGCTGTCCTCCTAGTTCCATCCTCTACCTTTTTGGACAACAAAGTTGTCAGCTAGGTTGGTTAGGAACTTATTTGATTTCTCACTTGGTGCAGAATTAGTTTTCCAATTGATATCAGGATAATTGAAGTCTCCCGTTACTATTGTTGTGTGTTTCCTGCACATGTTTGTTAGTTGGTTGGCAAAAAGGACATCTATTTTTTTCTGCTTGGGTGGCCTATAATATACACCTATAGCCATGTTATTCTTTTTTTTTCTTTTATATTGACCCATATGCATTCTAGGAGGCTTTCATCTTTGGTTTCATGCATGTCTGTAGCAATATAGTGGCCCTTTACATACAATGCAACTCCACCTCTTCTTTTATAGGGTCTGGGTTTTTTTGAACAGTTTGTATCCTTCTACCAGTATGTTCCACTCATGGGTTTCATCCCACCAAGTTTCTGTTATTCTAACGATATCATATCTGCCTTCATGTATTCGTAATTCGAGTTCACCCTGTTTGTTCCCTAGACTTTGTGTATTTGTATATAGGCATTTTAGATCTTTATGTCTGATGCTGTGTTTACTGTCTACATAACCTGTGTTGTGCCTGACTGCCCCTACTTTCTTGCCACCTGTTTGATTAATGCACATGGTATGGCACTCACTATTAAATGCTTGGTTTTGCTTGAGAGCAAGGTTGATAATCTTACTTGCACAAACATCTATGTTACATGCAGTGGTATTCTTATTAATTTTAGATTGCTGGGACAAAAATGTTCTGTATCCATTAATTCTCTGTCCCCGCTATTCAGTTTAAATGTTTATCCAGAAAATCTGTGAATTTAATGCCAAGTAACTCAGTCCCTTTCTTTGATGGATGCAAACCATCTCTTTTGTACATTTTTTTCTTTGGACCAGCTGCAGACATCATGACTAATAAAACCAAAGCCCTCCCTTTTACACCACTCCTTTAGCCACACATTAAACTCTGCTACACGCTGGCCTTTCCCTTTTTGTTCCTTGTATACTGGTAGAACCTCTGAAAAGATAAGCCTACAGCCCATACTACTAAGTTCATACCCCAAGCTCTACCAAGTTGTATAATAGCATCAACATCACAGTTTTTATATAATTGATAGTGTAATCTTTCTCAGGAATGTCTTTCTGTCTCTGGTTGAACCTAAATTTTGCTTTATTTCAGTTTATTTACCATTTCAGTTTATTTCAAATACATTTGAAATAATGTATTACATTATGCATTACATAATAAATGTATTATTTCAAATACATTTACCATTTCAGTTTATTTCAAATACATTTGTACCTAACAGACTCCTTGTGTTTATTGAGGCAAAATAATTGATATGGGGAAATGGGGATTATTCAACATGCATGTCATTATCCAGAATTGCTTGGAGATAAATAGTTCATTGGGATGAACTGCTAATGTAAGTTCATCACTATTTGTATGGAATTGGCCATCCAGAAAATAGGGAAATGAATGGGAAAAATTATTCAAACTTATTTTTTTCCTTACATAGAAAACTTGATTTGTAGGACCCTAGAAATCTAAGAAGTGTAGATCCATGATTCTGTAATGATAGTTACAGGACAGAAAATCTTCTAAACTCAAATCTTATTTGTGACTTTATTTTCCCAGACTATAATTTGCCTCACCTTTCGCCTGATGGAGAATGTGACTAGTGCCCTACCAGCTGGAGCAGTGGCAGCCGTACTAAAGCCCAGCGGAGAACTTCCCAATGGAAGCTCAACTGTACAAGGCTATGATTTTGACCAGGGATTAGACTATCATGCCTTGCTCCAGTCGTATCTCAACACTGGTTTCCAGGCTACCAGTTTTGGACAAGCTGTGAATGAAATCAATCGAATGGTATGTGGCCAGAATGATTTCTGATGGGATAAAGGGACAATAGACTAGATAGAAAGGTAGATACTGATTTCCATCCTTGAATGTGCTTAATGACTATATATCACCTAACTACATCTCCACTTTCATGAATATACATTCTTGCCTATCCTGTGTATCTTTTATTTGCTCGCATTCTTACAATATTCTATTCGTATGTTACGATTCAATTGGATCACAGGGATTAGGTACATTGAGCTTTGGGTACAAAATGGTTATAAAAGGCCAATTTTGTTTATTTGCCCAATGACTAGACTGCCCAATTCTGAAAAAAGTGATGAACTTTAATCTCATTGTTACGGCATAGAATTCAACTAGTTAATAACATCCATAGTGGTCTGGATTTAGATGGGCAACCTGTGGTATGATGAGGCTGAGGGAATGAAGTAGATTTTGAATGGAATCATCTTGAAGTGGTGGGTGCCCCAAAAATCTTTTTTATTTTGGTAACTTTTGCTTTTTGCCTACCAAGCCATGAACAAGATAATTGTTTTCACAAGCTTGATAACACATTGCAAGTCTGTATACAGATCTTTTATATCTTAAATAACAGTCTCCATTGCAAAAACATCTCTTGCAAAACATCAATAACACCTGATTGTGGTTGTTTTATCTTTGCTAGTTGATTTAATTTCAAAACAACTCTCTCTCCTTCTCATCTTTTTCTTCTATGTTCAGATCCTGCTTTAACTACTACAGGCTTAAAATCCACAAACATTTTCTTACGTTCTAAACATAAATTAAAACTAAATTAATTTTTTAAATAAAGTGTTATTTGGGTTTTCACACATACAAAATACAAGTAAAACATCTTTTTTGAAAATAGCATGATCCCAGGTTGAACTTCTTTATACAGACACAAAACTCAATTTCATGCTCCTTTTTGAATTCTATTCCATATCTTATACTATTTTACATTTTCTATATAGTTTTTCCCCTCTTTTAATTTTCTCAATTTTATTTTGATTATCTCATCTTAATTCAAATCATTATGTTTATACTTTTGTCTGTTCTGTTTCAATTTTATATTATCTTTTCTCATTAAACAAATTTTCTCCTGTAGTTACTAATTGGAGTATGACACCTTTATATCTTTTAATTACATCCACTCAACTCTTATTTAAACTTCAATATATACCTTAAGTTTATGACCTTCAATATAATACATAATACGTAAGTTCCAATCGAATTCTGCTTGGTACATTCTTATAATACACACTATATTCTTTAAAAAAAAACGATTGTAAATATATGTAATTATAAACCCTCATTCCATTCTAGTTCAGTTCTATCATTAATAATCATTAAAATCTTAACATCTTTAACACTTCTTTTCAATTAAATATCATACCTCCTTAAAAATACATAATCTTCATAATTAATGTTTCCCTTATTTCTCTTCACGTATGTTTTATAGATCATTAAATATTCATTTTGTTACATTTATTTATTGACAAGCATTCCACTGAATTATGATAGCTATTTTATCAGACATTTTAATCATACATTGTTTCATATTTCCTAAAATTATTTCTGCTTCTAATATAACCATACTATCTTATGTACCTTTGCAGAATCCCTTTTTCCATTAAGTTTTCACCCATTATCTCTAAATAGGCCCTGTTTCTCGATATTTTGCTTCTGTCCTTTATAACTTCTTTTCCTTTCTTTCTTCCCTCTCATCTTCCCCCTCCCCTTTTTACCCCCTTGTCTATCTAGTTCTAATTCTCTCTTCTGCATTTCCCTCTTCTGTTGCTTTCTGATTTTATACTTATTTTTCACTCTATTTTTTTTGCAGTTGTTTTTCCCAATCTTAAACTTTCCATTCTCTTTCCCCCCTTTCCTTTTTTCCCCCATCTAAGATTACTTGTTCATTAAAGATGGCTTCTTCTTTATCGCAATCTTCTTGTTCTGCAGGCATTTCTTGTTGTTTCTCATAATTCCAAAGCTCCATTTCTAAAAATTGAAATACGAAGCCAAAAGAACCTCTCCGTTCTTGTGCATCTTCTTTGTACTTTTTAAGTTCCATTTTCAGTTCTTCTAAAAGTGGAGCCATTTTAAACAGTTTTAAAGAACCATCCAATTGATTTTAGTCATTCAAAACAATAACCAAGAATCCAGAAATCATCAAGTAATCCAGTTAGTCCCAAGTTATATCTTCTTATTTCTTTTTCAACTTTTTCTTCCTGGGGTTTTTGTTGCGATATTTCAATTAGAATTTATCTTTTGGAAGTTCTGTTGAGATTTTGCTATAAGTTCTTTTTTAATTCCAGGCAGTCTCCTCCCTTCCAGATCCTACCCTTTTATTCTTTTTCTCTCCTTTCCTGTTTTCAAAAGCTTTTAATTATCCAGAAATCTTTATTATCCCTTTGATTTTTTTATTTTCAGCATTAAATGCCTATTGATGTCAAAGTAGATTTTTTTCCAATTTCTTGCTTAAGTCTCTTAGTTGTCAGTATAAGAAAAGGAGAAAACCAAATCTTTTCCCTTTTCTCTCTCCTTCGCAGCTTAAAAATCTTCTTAGGGAACAATGTTATTGTTTTTTAACAGCTTCAATTCCAGGGTACCTTATTTGTTGCTTTTGCTGTTTGACCCGGTCAACCAAAACTTTCTCTTCTTATCTTCCTCCTGCACATTCTTTTCCGGTCGAGTTCTTTGTGGTGGCCATTTCTGACCACCGCTGCAGCTGCCTTCGGGAAAGGGAGTAATGGCCAGCTGGGGAGGAGAGATGCGGCTCTCCTCAACCCTTCAGGCAGTCTCCCCCCTCTTCACCACCTCTACGGGGTGGCTTAGCCCCAAAACCAGCAGGCTCGGGGCGCTCCAGCGGCGAGCACAGATCAAAGCAGAAACGAGGTTTCGGTCTGTCGCTGAAGAAGCTCAAACCAGAAGTCCCCAAAACTAAATTAATTTTAACTCATAAACTATGCCAGCCACCTTATCTTTGACATGTGCTTATTTTAACATTAACAACAGGATTCATTTAGACTTTGATTTTTGGTAGAATTTGTTAGAAATCAGGAAGGCCCACAAACTACACTTACATATTTTTTTTTAATTCATCACGCCACTTTCCATCTCAGATTATCTAAACTGGAAGTAAACTAACATTTTAAAATCAAATGTACCTATTTCTTATGACTGTGTCCCATTTTTTCTGCAATTATAAGTAGCTTAAAGGATTTGTTTTTGTAAACAAGATTTGTTTGTCTTGTTTGGCCTTCTTCCCTGCTATGAGCTCTGAAATACAGTGTTTCACCTGGGTTGAATTTGATTCAAATGATTGAATTCTGTTGCAGATAGAAGCAAAGTTGACACCATTAGGGGAGGATGAAGGGAATCATGCTGATTTGAATCCCTGTTCTCGCTGCCTGACCAGCTGTACAATTTTCTTGGGCTTCACATCCAACCTCATCAGCTCAGGTGTTCGTGAGTCCATCCGCTATCTGGTGCAACATAACATGGTATGGCTTGATTGAGAAATATGTTTCCGCCTTTGATTTCTAAGTAAAAAAATTTTTTTTTTGTATGTTTATGTGGTTGGAAAAGGAAATGGGTGTTTCAGAAAGAAGAATTATGGGGAATTTGTTATACCACATGGTTCTCTGGCATTTAGATGGATATACATGGCTGGAAAGAAAGAAGTTATGGGAAATACTTCTTCAATCACTCTGAAAAGAGATGATCAGCCATTGAAGTTGTGTGTGATGGCAAAACTGAACCAAAGTAATCCTTCACAGAGGAGGAGAGTATAGTAGAGGTAGAGTAGAGTAGAGTGAGTAAAGTAGAATGAAGCAGAAATGGAACAGAAACAGAATATAATTAGAACAGAATAGAATAGAATTAGAACAGAACAGAATAGAATTAGATCAGAATAGAATTAGAACAGAATAGAATTGACTTCTTTATTGGTCAAATGTGATTGGACACACAAGGAATTTGTCTCCAGTGCATAAGCTCTCAGTGTACGTACAAATGTACAGTGTACATACAAACATAAGCTCTCAGTGGACATACCTAAGCTCTCAGTGTGTATAGAAACAACAAAGTGATAAATCATGATACCAGTAGGAGAAGATAATTAGAAAGATTAAAAGGATAAAAGCAATACAACCTTACTACGTAGGTAAATATCCTTCGTTAAAAATCTACATGAGTATAAAATCCTTATTTTCTAGGGTGTTAATTGCAAAGAAGCTTTGATCCTTTGTATCCTTTGTTGAATGTTACTTTTGATTTTGTAGGTTGATGTTTTGGTGACCACAGCAGGTGGTGTGGAGGAAGATCTGATCAAATGCTTGGCACCCACTTACATTGGAGACTTTAGCTTGCAAGGGAAAGAACTACGGAAGAATGGAATTAACAGGTGGTTCCTTTAGTCGTGTTGAAGGATAATCCGACCTCATCAGAAATCAGCATCTTTTATTATTTTTGTGACTGGTATTGTGCCCAGATATTACTTTCCATTTCCTCCTATATTAACCTATGTTATCTCACGTATAGTTTTGAGAAGGTGATCTAATTTGTGGTGCCTAGAAAGGCAATACAAAGTAGAGATCAATAGCTATTTCCTTTTCCCTTCCTCTAGGATTGGGAATCTCTTAGTGCCCAATGACAATTACTGCAAGTTTGAGGATTGGCTAATGCCAATCCTGGACCAAATGGTGATTGAACAAGACACAGAGGTGAGAGCTGAACTGTTAAGGGTGAAAAAAGTCTAGGTTTGGGTTGTTCTTCTGTATGATAATTGCAAAATGTGTATGCTAATTTTGAATCTTTGGATTATTCCTTCATGTCCCAGGGAGAAGAAAATGTATTGTAAAGCAGGGGTGTCAAACTCGATTTCATGGAGAGCCGCATCAGGGTTGTGTTTGATCTTGGGGTGGGGGGTGGGGATCAGGGGCGTGGCCAGGGTGGGAGTGGCCAGCTTGATGTCACTCATTGAGGCTCCGTTTTTGACTGCAACAGCCTTCTGCAGCCCTCTGCAAGTCAAAACCAAGCACAGAGCCTCCCTGGGCCTCCGTTTTCATTGGCAAAAGGTTGCAGGAGGCTGTCGTGGCCAAAAAAGGAGCCTTGCGTGGCCTCCCTGAGCTCCGTTTTTTCTGGTGGAGGCACCGTGGGTCAATCCTTTGCTGTTTCCAGGGTGGCCCCATGAGCCAGATCTAACCATCCAGCAGGCTGGATCTGGCCCCTGAATCTTGAGTTTGACACCCCTGTTCTAAGGGGTGAAGGGCAATGTAACATTAAAACCAAGTCCTAATAATAGTAAATCCTAACTCTTGAATCCAAAGTTATTTTTTGTTTATTAGATTCAGTTATTTTCATGTCTGAAACATCTCAGATGAAGACATCCTTGTGCTTAACTTTTTCCGATACCCATCTGTGTTGTCTAACCATCCTTCGATCCTCCCTGCCTTTCAGGGTATGAAATGGACTCCATCCAAGCTCATTGCTCGGCTTGGCAAGGAAATCAACAATCCAGAATCAGTCTGTTATTGGGCTCAAAAGGTAGGCCAAGAAAGGAATTCCTATTCAATTTGTTGTTTCACTTCTTTGTGTTTAAGTGCTCTTCTTTGTTTCACCTAATGGGAGTGTCTTCCTTTTTCTAATCTCTGGTAATCTCAAGACCTGTTTTATACAAGTAATATTTGACTTATCACCATTCTTTTAGTGACAATTTGAAATTACAACAGCACTAGTCAAGTGAATGATGACTGTTTTTCACATAACCATTGCAGCATCTCCAGGGTTCTACGATCAAAATTTGGACACTTAGCAACTGGCATGTATTTTACGATGTTTGCAGTGTCCTGGGCATCATGTGATGAAATTTTGTGATTTTTGGACAAGCAAAGTCAAGCGGGAAATCAGATTCACTTAACAACCGTGTTACTAACTTATCAAGTTCAGTGGTTCACTCAACAAGTGCGCCAAGAAAGGTCGTAAAATGGGATAGAACTCACTTAACATCTGTCTTGCTTTGCAACAGAAATTTTGGGCTCAGTTGTCATAGGTCAGTGGTAGCTCACCTTTTGGGGCTCCTGTGCCAAAAATTGTGTGCACTTGCATGCTTGCGCTAGCGTGCCAGCACCCAGAAGGCAATGTGCACGCCCCCTCATGTCCCTTACGCATGCGTATGCAATCCCACATTCACACCCCACTTCCCCCTCACCTGCACTACACCTCACAGCTGATTTTTGGCCTCCCAAAGACTTGAGGAAGACTTCTGCAGGCTTCTACAAGCTTTGTAGGGTGAAATCTAGCCCAGTTTCGTCACTTCCTGTTTTTCTGAAAATACCAGACAAAACGGGGCTAGATTTCGGCCTACAAAGCTTTTAGAAGCCTGTAGAAGCTTTCCTCAAGCCTTTAGGAGGCCGAAAAAGGACTCAAACCAGCTGAAAATCAGTTGTGAGGCGCATACATGAGCAGTGAGGTAAGTATGTCTGCAGCTCACGTGCTGGCACAAATAGTTCTGTGTGCCACAGGTTCGCCATCACGGTCATAGGTCAAGGACTACCTGTATTTATATGATCTTGCACATGACCCTTGATATTGCAAATATAGTTGTCCCACACATTTCCCAGTGACTAGCTTGTTCTTTCCCCCAGTATTAGATTTTCCTTTAAAACTGGCCTCCAAGCAAAGATAAATACATTTTTAATCCATAAAACAAATGCAGGAAGTGCCTCTCTAGCTTCTGTGAGCCATGCTACTTATATTTTCTCAACAGAATAATATTCCTGTATTGAGCCCAGCAATAACAGATGGATCCCTCGGAGACATGATTTTCTTCCATTCTTATAAGAAGCCAGGTCTTGTGCTGGACATCGTAGAAGGTGAATGAAGATAATTTGCAACATAAGTGGGCCCCTTAATCATCAGTAATAATCTGCTTGCAACTTCTGCCTTAGCTCAGAAGGGCAGCTCAATGGTGCTGATGCTATATTCCTTTTTTTAGATATAAAAATTTATTGAACTCCGATTAACAAATATCAAGTAACTAAATTAACATTAATCCAAGATGCATAGAAGAGAACTTTTGAAAATAAAAAAGTACTAAAAATCAAGTAAAGAGACAGCACCGTACATGTAGAAATTTACCAAATATACAGGATGTACAATGTTGATATTACACTCTTAATAGAGTGTAATAAAATATCAGAGGCAGAAAGCATATTTTTATCAAATCTTGGATGGATTTTATCATTTGCCTTAACAAAATTTAATAAAAATTTGCTTTCTGCCTCTGATATTTTATTATTTTAAGTTTGTGAGGTTTTTTTCTGCAGCAGTTCAAGAGGCCCTGAAAGAGAACTTTCAACTGTTATATTATCAAGAGTTTTCCAGTGCTGGGACATTACAGCTTAGGTGGTAAAATTAAACAGCTAAAAACTTCCTCATTTTCAAACTTGAGATTAGCTCCGGTAAATACAGTAGATGCAGTATGCCTAACTCTGAGGGAGCATTCAGTTCTTTGTTTAGTAATGATACTTATCTCCCCCAAATATGTATGGAAAACTGACAGCCCGAATTCAGGATCTGAGTGCTGCATGGCTGGATGAGCTGTCCTAGCTCCTGCCAACCTATCAGTTTGAAAGCATGCAAATGCGAGTAGATAAATAGGTACCACTTTCATGGGAAGGTAACAGTTTTCTGTGCACCTCTGGCAAATAACCATGCTGGCTACATGATCATGGAAGTGTCTTTGGACAACGCTGGCTCCCATGGCCAAGAAATGGAGATAAGCACCATGCCTATACATGTGCGCACGCGCGTGCACACACACACACACACACAAACACCAATCTGATTGGAATGACATGCCAACAATGTAAACTTCCAGTGCGGTTCTTGCATTGAAGTTAAGGTTAGCAAATGCTGTATGTTGAAAGCTCAGCAGCTGTTATTTTATTATTGAGATGTGCAATGTGTGTTTGCAACACCTCCATCATAACCATTATTATCATCTCTTTTACAGACCTGAGACTCATTAACAGCCAGGCCATCTTTGCCCGGAAGACAGGAATGATCATCTTGGGTGGAGGCCTTATTAAGCACCACATTGCCAATGCAAATTTGATGGTGAGGGACAGTGGTGTGTAGTAGCCACAAAGCCAAGGTTGATTTGGAAGGGAGAGACTATGATGTGAGGAAAAAAAAAACATTTTTTTAAGCAAAATTAATATAGAGACATCTTGGTGCTATCTCTCAATTCCTATAATTTTAACCAAAGGGCTTGCAACAATAAAAACAAAATATAAATATTTAAAGGCAATCTAGTAATCCATTATACCAGAAAAGAGTGCAGAAGGTGAACGTTTTTATGTTGGAGAGTTCTGCAGAGAATTAAAATGGTTGCAAGTATAGCCTTGGAGTTGTTCAACTCACAGGTCATTGCCACAAAACTGGAATTTCCAGTTGAGATCGTGGTAATTCTTCCCAATGAGGAAGACCCCATGCTATGAGTTTCTTTCCTGCGTGTTGAATCAAATCAGGCCTTGGACATTCTTCATACCGTCCTATTTAGTAGGCTTGGAAGGACTTCTACAAGGAGTTTTGATGTTCTTCAAAAGAGTGGACAATGGTATGCTAAATAATGATTGGGTCTATGTTGTTGGACTTAGTTTTGGGGGAGGAAAACACAGAAAAAAATTCTGCCTCTGCCTACCAGCATCCATCGGTATTCATCTGGCTAGCATCCTGTCAGTGTGTGAGAGAGTTGAGGGCTGTTTGGAAACCGAAAGTATTTGCTGTGTTAGCAAGAAGGAGACCGCAAGGAGCCTGGGCATGACTTAGCTCAACTGTTCTGTACTAAAGCTGCTTGGTGGTGTGAAACTGAAACTCCTCTCCTCTGCTTGTGTTTTGCATTTGGAAGAGATTTCTTTTCAGGTGGGGAGGGGGAGTAGAACTCCTTAGCATCAGAGCGTGTTAATAATAATAATATAAGCAATGCTAATGATCTGAATGGTCATTTCGAAAAATCCTTTCTTAGTGAGCACCTAGAAGCCAAGAGGAACATACGTGCCAAATTTAAAGTTTGTAGGCTTTACAGTTCTGGAGATTTTGTGATAATGCATGAGGGGCATTTCGCTTTTCTATGTATAGATTAAGGATATAATCAGTCAGCTGAGACTTAGAGGTCACCAATGGTTTTGGGGTGTGTTTTTTTTTTTGGGTTTCCAGAGAAATGGAGCTGACTTCTCTGTATATGTCAACACCGCACAGGAGTTTGATGGCTCAGATTCAGGAGCTCGGCCTGACGAGGCAGTGTCCTGGGGAAAGATCCGTATGGATGCCAAGCCTGTCAAGGTATGTGGGACAAGAAGGGACTGAGAGATCACGTGCTGGCATGGATGAGGCATGATCCAGGACTACCATCATAATCATCCTGACAGGCAATATATTTTAGAAAAAGCAGATGAACGTTTTGGAGAGGGACCAACTATCTGAGCTCTCATATTTTTCTCTTTATCAGGTCTATGCTGATGCTTCCCTGGTTTTTCCATTGCTGGTTGCAGAAACGTTCGCTCAGAAACCAAATGCTTTTGTTCAAGAAAAGAAAAATGACTGAATTGGGAACTGCTGCGCAAGACTTTTTTTAAAAAAAATTCTGTTCAGAACTCCCTGCTTCCAACCTGCATAACCTCAGTCAACACCTATGTCAAAATTGCTACAAAGGTCTCCCTAGATGAATGGAGAAGCGGGGCCTATTGACCATTCAGACTAACTTCTACCATCCCTGCACTGGACAGAACTGGTATCCCAATTGTCTGCATATTAAACCTGAATTGGGAAGCAATCATTCTGTCAACCATTCCTCCTTGCAATGATGGATCTTGTACTGCGAAATATGATGGAAGGTGTAAAGACCCTCAATTGTGTGCTCAATTCTTCCAAAGGATTTTTATGCAATGGTGGAACACCTAGGGGTTCTGGAATTTGATTTGTGTGTTTATGTGTGTGTCTCTTAATGACTGAACCAGACCATACCTCTGCAATCTGGTCTCTCCTGTCTTCTCAGTTAGCCCCCGATATTTATTCAAGGTGTTTTGTGTGGAATTGCCTAACAGCCATAACTTTGTAATAGTTTTAATATTTGTTCTTGTTTTGGGGCGCCTTTTTGCCATCACAATGACTGTGACATTTTGTGACTTTTTGTGCATATGAGTTAAGAACAGCCGTTATTTTTATTATTATTATTTCTAGGGCAAAGTTATAAGTTGATTAAACATTTTATTCAATATATTATTCAATAAAAGCTCTATACCCATGCTTTGCTTCACAACTATGTGATCGGGCTTAGTTTTGGGGGAGGAATATAAAGGGGGAAAATTGTGCCTCTGCCTACCGGCATCCATCGGTATTCATCTGGCTAGCATCCTGTCAGTATGTGAGAGAGTTGAGGGCTGTTTGGAAACTGAAACATGGAAACTGAAACAGTATTTGCTGTGTGAGCAAGAAGGAGATAGCAAGGAGCCTGGGCGTGGCTTAGCTCAACTATTCTGTACTAAAGCTACTCTGAAACAAACTCCTCTGCTTGTGTTTTGCATTTGGAAGAGATTTCTTTTCAGGTGGGGAGGGGGAGTAGAACTCCTTAGCATGAGAGCATGTTAATAATAATAATATAGGAAATACTAATGCTCTGATGGTTTGAAAAATCCTTTCTTAGCATCTAGAAGCCAAGAGCAACATATGTGCCAAATTTCAAGTTTGTAGGCGACATAGTTCTAGAGATTTTGTGATGATGCGTAAGTGGTATTTGACTTTTATATATATAGATATTCTACATTTACTTGTAGAAAAAAAATACAGTAAACAAAAAGAAATGTATAAAGAAATGACTTCTTCCATCTCAACAAATATAAACATTTTTAGTAATTTATGACCTCTTAAAATGCCACAATATATCTCTTCTTCCAATAATCCCATCTTTTATATATAAACAAATCTATAAAAGTTCATCATTTGAGTTTTAATCAACAAAAGTCCATTAAGAGTTCCTGGAGACAACATGTTATTTATTTTAATTAGGATCAAATAAACCAACTTGATATTACTTCCTTTTACTCTTAACAATCTTAATCCCTTCAAATAAATGTCCTAAAATTTTATTCTTTTCATTCTTTTTTCTTTTGAAGTGGTGCAAAAAGTAAAAACAGTTTCCTATTTCAGACCTAAGTGGAGGAGCCTAAAAGAATAAGGTGAAATAATTATTAGTAAATGCCCAGGGAATATTAGTCATGTAATTAGAAAAGTTATTCAGTTATCAGCTGTGGAGTTCTTGATGCTCTCTGAGCTTGGTTGTTTGCAGATGTTCTATGACTCTAATATCTGGATTAACACCAGACAAGCAGTAAACAATTACCCCAATCAAGTGACAGTCAAATGAGACAAACAGTCAAGCAGTAAACAACAGTGTAATGAAGGAACTACCAAGTAGAAGACAACACACCCACCAACACTGACTGGACAAACTACCATATATAAACCAAGAGCAAACACTATTCCGTTCTTGCACTGATGATGTTACTTAATTGGATAATGGAATATCTGCAAGCATACAACCAGAGAATACCAATAAATCCACAGCTCAATCCTGACCTACATAAATTCTCTTCTATTGGTATCAGGTATCAATTGCATTGGTGTATAATAATAGTCATTTTTATCTTATGAATTCTGGCTTGCTTGAGACCAATAAAGAACGTCACTATTGGATTTCTGCTAGTGGCAAAATAGTCTCAGAACAAAGTGGAAAATGTAAACAAGTAGCTGTTTACATATAATTGTATATGTTTATGCAAACAACTGAGCATAAAAACCAGAAGGGCTGTCTGTCTGTTGTGCAGATAGGGATGTAGAAAATAAGACATTGGATGTAAATTAAAAGGACTTATGCCATTTAGCACTTGTCATTTTTTTTTTTTTTTTTGTTACATAGCTACTGCTCCAGAGTTGCAATAAAGATTTAATGCATAGCTATATTGCTCCAGATCTCCAGACCGAGAGTATGGCAAAGTTTGTGGAAGTATTGAGGATCTTATCAGTTACTGGTTCAGGCCATGATTAAGTTTTTTCTTTCCAGATGAATTGTACCACTGGCCCAAAAGACTGATAAAATAGCTTTGTCCACCATTTCTGCCTGTTCACAGTAAGTTTATATTGAGAGCCTATACAGGAGTAGGCATGCTGACTGGAGTATTGTGGGAGTTGAAGTCCATCCATCTTAAAATAGAAATACTGGCTTGAAGGTCATGTGTCAGAGAGGCTCTTGCACTGAACAAGGAATGGTCCACAGTGGTGGTATGCTGCTGGTTTGCACCGGTTCTAGCGATCCAGTAGCGCTGGTCAGCAGTTGCCCCACCCACCCGTCCCCCGCCTTTCCTGTCCTATACTTTCTTTGTTGCTCAGCTGATAGACGCAGCAGAGCGGATTGCCATGCCTCAGTTGTTTACTTACCAGCACCGATGGTCAAAGTTTTCATGCTTAAAATTGCCCATTTTAGAACGCTCCATGCATGCGCTCACAGAACGAGTACTAAAATATTTTGAATTTCACCACTGATGGTTTAGGCCAGTGGTTGCTAACTGGTGGTCCGGGGATCACTGGTGGTCCGCGAGAAAATTTTGGTGGTCCTCAGAGAAATGCCCCCCCCCCAAAGCACTCTTCCCCAAAGCAATTAATCCAGGCTGTGCAGGAACACAAGGCTGCGCCGCTCACATGGCCCACCCACCTGCTGGCCCCCACCCTTCATCCAAGTGCAAACCTTACCTTGAGTAGAGCCATGCGAGCTGGAACTGGAAGGTAAGACCAATGGTTGGGGAGGGATATCTGGCCTGCGGTGGCTTGCTGACATTGGTGGGAAAGTCAGTCCCATATTCCAGAGGTGCAGTAGTCACAAGATTGGCCCTTTGGTTATCCCAGAGTAGCTCCTCCAGTCCATGGCAGGCCATTGCACCTGGGTGGAGGAGCAGCTGCTCCGGGATGACCAAAGGGCCAGTCCTGTGACTGTTGCAGCTCTGGAATATGAGACCAACTTTCCCACCAAAGTCAGCAAGCCACTGTCAGTCAAAATTTATATTAGTGGTCTGCAGGATTTAAAATTATGAGTTTGGTGGTCCCTGAGGTCCAAAAGGTTGGCGACTCCTGACAACCTCCAAAATTCTTTCCAACTTTGATTCTTTGTGATTTGAACCTTAACTGTTTGTATATTTTTACACTGTTTTAAATTTAATCCAGATCACAATATTTCACAGAGGAAAAACTGCGCTGGAAATGTGCTTACTACTTATAATTCCTGTCTTCACCTAATATATGGAGTTTTATTCATAGTTCTATTTCTAATACATGAAATTTTACATTCTTCCCAACTTTCAAGATACAGACATACAGTTACCATTAACATATGGCTTTGGGTTACAGGATTCCCAATATTGGTTCTTTCTTGGACATATTTTTTTCTCAGGTGTACATGATGTTGGTGTTTTATCATGAAAGTTGGCTGTCAAGCCTCTGCTTAAGTATATCGAGTGAAGGGAAACCCACAGTCTTGGTGGATGATTGGCTTCTGTAATCACTTGCTGTTACTGCTATTTTTTTAAACGTCCCATCAGAATTTACCTTCTTACAACATCCATTCTTTCATGTCCTCCACTTTGAAGTGCTAGAGAACGAAGCTCTCAATTTTCAGGTATTTGAAAAGGGCTGTCTCATCCTCCCAGAGCTGCCTTTTCTGAAAGCTAAACAAGAATCCCAATTTTTGCAATCTGTCATCAAAGAAACACTCATACAGGCCATCATAGAAAATGGAAAGGAAAGGGGAAAGGGAAGAGAAGGGAGAAAGGAAAGGGGAAAGGACAAAGGAAGGGAAAGGAAAGGTATAAGACCTGGTGCTATTAGAAATGCAGGGAAGTGGGAAATATTTCATCTGTGACAGGTGATGGAGATAGTAATATGGATGTGATAAATACTACATTGGAAATTGGCAATAAAAAATAAGAGGTTTTTGGAGCCCTTGTACATTGTTCCATAACATGTTATGAAAATATTCCCCGTCTTTTCATGCAGTTGTGTTTCTTAAACCAGTGTCTCATCAACTTTGTTTTCAAGCCCCTCTATGCTACATTAACCTTACCCCCTTGGTTCCTCTTTATGGGTGCAGAAGATAATTTTCTGCACTTCATAACCTCCTTTCTTGTCCTACGCTTCCTATTTACATATTTGTGTCAGCAATTATGTTCTTACACATCCTCATTAATGCACCGTACCTTGTCTTCATTTCTTTATCCTTTGCTTTGGTTTGCAGTTTAGTATAAATATGATTCTATTATTCATTAGTATCTGATCCTTTTAATCCTTCACCGCTGGTACAGGTGATTATGTGAGGGTAATTTTCCCTCACATGTCCTTGCTTTCTTGAAACTGTAGGTGAGGACCTAGGCGTTTGAAATCTTTTGTCTTTGAAAAAAAAAACCAGCCTTCTGCAAAGTGTGAGTGTTTAGTCTAGTTATAGTGGTTCTAAAAAGAGCTCTTTCCTTTCTTTCAGAATTCTAAGCACATGTATTTACTTTTATCTCGCAAAGATCTATCACAGCATTGCTTTGTCGCTATTAAAATAGCACAGGAATAATACATCTCCTGGCTAACAAAAATATTCCATTCAGAAAATAAATGATTCTGAATAAGACACGTGCAAAACAAGTGTGAGTTGATAAAGCTTCATAAGAAAAGAAATAGCCTGAGAAAATTAAATGAGCTGTCTGTCTTCTGAAGGTAGGCTGTGTCTTTATTTTTTATTTTTTTTTAAAAAAAGCTGAAACAGGGCAGGTGTTGATTCTCTCCTTCCTACTGGAAATCCTATGCCTTCAGTAGAATCCAAGAAGTTTATTACAAGCACACACACACACAAAGCCATATTTCTAAAAAGAGACTTCTCATAGTAAACATAGAAACTATTTTTTTCCAGGTTTTGTATTAATACCCATAGAAATTAGAACATAAAGAGCACATTAACAAATGTTATAATGTCTTGGAATAGTGGGGAAGTTTTTTTTTTTTTTAATTTGTCAATTGCTTACAAGATAACAGGTATAAGTAAAAACATAGTTATGAAGACATGGATGCATATAAGAAAAATAAAAAATATATAAAAGGAACAATAGGACAGGGATGGTAGGCACGTTGGTGCGCTTATGCACGCCTCCTACAGACCTCTTAGGAAAGGGGTGAGGTCAATAGTAGACAGGGGTTTGGGGAAAAAAACCACAGAGTCAGGTAGAGTATTCCAGACATTGACCACTCTGTTGCTGAAGTCCTATTTCCTGCAATCAAGTTTAGTGCAA